ACAAGCATTATCATCGGCATTTTAGCTTAGCCAATGAGAAGGTTATGAAGATGCAATGCATGCTGTTGAGACCTTAACTTGACCTTGCCCGCGCGGGGAAGCACCTGTGTTGCGCGACATCCATATGTGTATATGGCTCGGTCCATTGCAATCCCACCACCTCTGTACCCACTTATCATCACTAGGAGCTCAAAGATCCAGTCTTTTGGAGTTCCTCGCAAAGTTTGAACTTTATCGTGCCTACTAAAGAGCAGAAAAAATAGCAGAGTTGGCCCCTGGTAACTTTCAGGTGCTTGGAAGTTGCAGGCCTCTCCACTTGCTGACGATTGCGTGATGCTGGTCTAGCCTGACGAGTCAGCTTTGTCAACTGCAACCATCTCATCAACTCAAGAAAAAGCAGAAAATTAAATAAAACCATAACTCCCAAGTTTTCTTCACTCTTGACACATGCTTCTTTGCTGCACCTCCATTCTCCTCCTGTTACTGTTTTTGAGAGGATCATTTTTTATCAATTCCGTTTGCTGGCTCGCACAGGGCGTATCCCTCGCTTTCAAGTGAACTCTGAGCATCGTGAATCTTTTATTCATTGGGCGAAAATGGGCTCCTGATTGATTCTGATATCGTGGGATTGTGAGCCATAGCTCCTCCGAAAGAAGCTTTTCCGGCTTTGATTTCAGCCATACGCTGTTCACCTACACCGGTTTTAGTTTTATATAGATCTCTCCTGCCTCCCTCCCCTTTTTTTTTTTTTCACAATTATCACTCCGTCTGTTATCTTTACCTCTTAATTCAAGCCTATGCATATATATACGCATACATTTTTGCAGTACACCTTATTTCGAACCGACCACTTTTTGGCCACTTACCCGCCTGTCACCCCAACTCCGGGAGTCGAATTTGCATTCTTTTCCACCTTATCTTTCCCTCAAGGACGGCGCCATGACTAATTCAAAGGGAGGGACGTCGACTAAAGTCGGAAATTCCCTTGTCAAATTGGCGGGCATCAAAAAAAACTATCGGGACCCCATCGGAGAGGACCCCGTCACCCGCGGAGAATCAACCTTTTCCGTTGGAACATCGGATACCTATGCCTATGTCGAACAAGAGCCATCCTCGGCAGACTGGCTGCGCGAATTGGTCCCTACTGGCCAGCAGGTCGTACAATACTTTACCAACCTTTTCCCCTTCTTGCGCTGGATTACTCGATATAACCTTCAATGGTTAATTGGTGACCTTGTAGCCGGCAAGTTCTGTTCTAATACCACGACACAAAAAAAGGCAGTTGTCCGTGATTCTAACCCTTCTTATAGGTATCACTGTGGGCGCGGTTGTGGTGCCGCAGAGCATGGCATACGCAAAATTGGCTGAGCTAAAACCTCAGTTTGGGCTTTATTCGTCGTTTATGGGCGTACTAATATATTGGTTTTTCGCAACCTCCAAGGATATCACCATCGGAGTGAGTGTCCAGTAATGCCCTTTTCCTGTTGCTCTGGAAGCTTACTTTTATTCTCTACTTTCATTTTAGCCTGTTGCAGTAATGTCGACGTTAGTTGGCCAGGTCGTCATCAAGGTCCAGGCAAATAATCCAGAAATCCCAGCGCATTATGTTGCAAGTGCACTTGCAATTATCTGCGGTGGGATCATCACCTTTATCGGCCTTATTCGGTGCGGCTGGATCGTCGATTTCATCCCTCTGACCGCAATCACTGCTTTCATGACAGGTTCGGCCATTAGCATTGCCGCGGGCCAGGTTCCTTCTATGATGGGTATTCGTGGTTTCGACACACGTGATGCAACTTTCAGGGTTATCATCAACACCCTCAAACATCTACCAGACACAAAAATTGATGCCGCAATGGGTCTGACTGCACTGTTCCTCCTCTATCTCATCCGCTGGGCTTGTAATTTCAGCGCCAGAAAAAACCCGAACAAGCAAAAGCTGTTTTTCTTCCTGGCCACGTTACGGACCGCATTTGTCATTCTTCTATATGTCATGATCAGCTGGCTAGTCAATAAAAACCATCGCGAGAAGCCAATTTTCAGGATATTGGGCACAGTACCTAGGGGTGTGTAGTACCCCTTCACTCTCAACCATGGCGCTTTTTTATCCCTGAACATCACAAAGGAAATACGCTAACACAGGGAACAGGGTTCAAAAACGCGGCTGTTCCGACAGTCAACACCAAAATCATAAAAAACTTTGCAAGCGACATCCCCGCGGCCGTCATAGTTCTCTTAATTGAGCATATTGCCATTTCAAAGTCGTTCGGGCGAATCAATAATTACACCATCGACCCATCTCAAGAATTAGTTGCTATTGGCGTGACCAATCTTCTTGGACCCTTCCTTGGAGGGTATCCTGCTACAGGGTCGTTCTCAAGAACCGCTATCAAATCAAAAGCTGGTGTTCGCACACCATTTGCTGGTGTCATCACTGCTGTTGTGGTTTTGCTTGCCATATACGCCCTTCCTGCGGTTTTCTTCTACATACCAAATTCTTCGTTGTCTGCTGTCATTATCCATGCCGTCGGAGATCTTATCACACCACCAAACACCATCTATCAGTTTTGGAGAGTCTCGCCTCTCGAAGTTGTGATTTTCTTTGCCGGCGTCTTGGTTACAATTTTTTCTTCAATTGAAAACGGCATCTACTGTACCGTTTGCGTATCAGCCGCTATTCTTCTTTTCCGAGTTGTTAAAGCTCAGGGGCAGTTCCTTGGACGAGTCAAAATCCATTCTGTAATTGGAGACCATGTTCAAGGAAACGATGGAAAACACGGTGGCGCCTTCGAAGCAAATAGCTTTAACCCTTCCAGAGCCAATAACCCATCTTCAGCCCGAAACATCTTCCTTCCACTTAACCATAATGATGGTTCAAACCCTGAAATCGAAGTAGAGCAGCCTTCACCGGGGATATTTATCTATCAATTTTCCGAAGGGTTCAATTATCCTAATGCAAATCACTACCTTGACTACCTCGTCTCTACGATATACAAGCATACGCGACGAACGAACCTTGACAGCTACCCTCGTCTGGGTGATCGGCCATGGTGTGACCCCGGGCCCCGCAAGGGCCAGGTTGAAGAAGATCGTTCACATCTTCCCACTCTCAAAGCTATTATCCTTGACTTCTCCTCCGTTAACAACGTGGACGTCACTTCTATCCAAAATTTAATCGATGTTCGCAACCAGCTCGATAGATATGCTGCTCCGCAACCCGTCCACTGGCATTTTGCTCATATCAATAACCGATGGACCAAACGCGCTCTTGTTTCTGCTGGCTTCGGCTATCCGACACCCAGCCCTGGAGGGAATGGACGATGGAAAGCGATTTTCAGCGTCGCGGAATTGGGAGGTAGTAATTCTGCTGCTGCTCACGAAGCGCTTAAGAGACGTCGTGAATCGGATCAATACAGCGACAAATTCAAACAAGATGTCGAGGCGGCAACACAAGCGATAGGGCACATTTCCCATAAAGCCGGCGGAGAGGATGGCGTCGAAGAAACATCCAGCACTGAGTCTGGAAACGAGCTTGGAAAAGAATTGGATTCTAGCAAAGTGTATAGTGTTGCGAGCCGGAGAATTGTTGCTGTCCATGGACTCAATAGGCCCCTTTTCCATATGGACCTGACCAGCGCACTGCAAGGTGCTCTTGCTAATTCTGAGGCTACTGCCGCTGAAAACAATATTATAAGGAATTAGGGGGCGTGGTTTGCACATTACGTTGTGGATCAAATTTTATTGGGGAGGTAATTGGCGTTGAAAGAAGTGCAGGTGGAGTACTGCAGTATATCCTTGTTTTTGCCAACCTGGGGATTTCTTTTCTTTTCTTTTCTTTGCCTTTCTTTCAATTTTCCTCCTTTATATCTGCCTGACCAATACCCGCTTCTATGTTTTGTTATTCGATCGAAGTTACCACACATATATATATGCTGGTGTTCTTGTATGTGCACTTTTTCGAAGCTTTCTCGGAGTCACCACTATTTTACCAGTCGTTCTGAAGCTTTATTTCCCATATCCAGCCTCCTGAAAGAAAAGGAAATAATGGAGGGAGACTATTTTACTGGTTCATAGCCAATTTTCGCATATTTTGGCCCCCCCTATGAGATGAGGTGAATTTCGGGATACGAAAATTTTTTTCTAAATTACCTCTTTACATTCCACCACTTATTACATACCACTGGTGCCTTTGATTTATTTATTATCCAACTTCTAGAAGCTATGGCCTCTCTGTTCATCAGCTCTAATAGGTTATTATTATTGTTATTATTACACAAATTTAAACCCTTGTTGGGTATACAAGCACGAACAACTTGAAACAGAAAATCAAACCGATATGGGCAAATCATGAAAACACTTGTTTATGTTGGATTATTTGACCATGTAACAATATTACTCACTCCAGAAGGATGGAAGAGATGCGGCAGCTGGTCGACTTATGATTGGGTGTAGCCTTGAGATAGAAGAGAATTTGGATTGTTAAAGCCATTCCGCTTGAGCAAATATACATCGAAACGGACGGGTGAAACCAGTTTCCAAAAATCAAATAACAGCAGTGCAGCGTTGTTGAGGTTGCCAGATAGGGCTAACTGACGGACTCAAGAGTTTGAGTTGACCTTGGCGCCAACAGAAGCTTGTCCCGCGCCACAATCTGGCGACCAGCTTGCAAAACTTGGCTTTGAATCCAACCTCCCAGATGAAGCGGCCACTCAGATGACGAACACGGCATATTTCAATCTAGCCAATACTTCTTTTCTTTTTTCTCGCAGGCTAGCCTTAGACCCGAAATCCATATTTTCACACAGCAATTGGCTTGGAACTCGTGATGTTGATGTCTTGCTGGTCTACGGAGTACTGCGTTTGACCATGTAAGTTTGGCGCGGAGATAACTCCACACGATTCCTCGCGTTTCCTTGCCATTGACATATTTAGGATTCATGTTTTACTGCGTAGTTGGGCTATCTTAACTACATAGTACAGTTCCATGCTGTACGCAGTGGTGCTGCAGCCTGTTGGCTGGTAACATCCTCTGGAATTGCCATCCCCTTGGTGCTCCAGACCTGCTTGGCTGACAATGTATTCGGCTGTCCCTCATGTCCATGCTGATGGGATGATCTATGTGGTTTCTACACGATCGGCAAGTTCATGGTTCGACGTCGTAGATAGTACTCGATGCTATCTGGTTGCTAATAGAGTATCGGGTTGGGCTGGGGGAAATTCTGGCTCAGTGCTACCAGGTTCGTATCGAGAAATGTAACTAACTAGAGAGTAGCCGAGCAAAAGGGCTGCCATAGGCTCCGACTGCAAAGAGCCTCAGAAAAAATATGAAGAACGACACCAGGTTCGTTCTATGCGAAAAATTTGCAGACATCTGCAAAATTTTATGGGTTGGATACGGTACATTTTTTTTTTATTATCGGCGTGGATGGTAAGAATATGCTTGAAGACCATCCCGTCAAGATCAGAGCCACCAAAGACTTGAGCATGTCATGCTGGAAAAGGGCCTTGGGCTGCTCGAGCTTTGGCCTTATCATACTGACCCTGGCCCAGGATATAATGACATGGTCGAAACAGCGCCAGTCCAATCACTACTGACATTATTCGTTAAGAGGCCACGGATTACTTTTCCGGGTTTACAGCTGAGGTGGTAAGGCGCACAATATGCAACCCGAGCCAGCAATCCGGATTCTCTTGACCGCAAGCGCATGTCTCATAGGACAGAAAACTTTAATCGACTTAAGGGTGATATCGATCAAAACTTAACCTCCCCTTCCGACACATTCCAGGCCCGCGTTATGCAACATCTCAGCTGTCATGGATATCGACATGGATATGACTACGGCGATGATGAAGAGAGAATACGAACCCGTTAAAATAAACGTTGTGTCGAATGTGGATTTCAGGAAAATGAGTGAAAATAGTGATATGAACGACCACTCCATGGATGTCAGATTATCGCTATTGAGGGATTGGTTTCCATTTTTCCTCCGAGGAGTTGATTAAAACCTAGTTGGGTCACCCCCAATCTTCTAACTTCTGCTAAATTTCTGATATATCTTCTATTCTTTCTTCCCAGTTGAAATCCATTTATTTGCGACATGTTATATCAATTTATCAGGAAGAAGATTCATGCCAGACAGCATCCGAAAAGCACTGACCAGAAGCGCCAATGCCCGCACCAATGGCAAAATCAAAATCAGGAAAGCGAGTTGGGTCCTGTTAGACTCGGAAATGAACATGATCCCGTGGACGCAGCCTTACTTTCGGACCGATATCCTGCCCCTGAACAAATTCAGCCAAACGGCCCCTGTCAGAAATGTAAAGAGGAGAAGCATGATGCTAGAGTCTATCGTTCAAAGTTGATAGCTGGACTGGTATTTCCGTATTTTCTTGCATCAGTCGATTTAACTATCGTTGCGTCTGCAATGCCCTTTATAGCATCCTATTTCAGTACGTAACACTCATTCCGTCCTGGGTTTTGATCATTTCTGACTTCGTGCAAACTAGATCAGCTGGACCAACTGAACTGGATCGTCACTGGGTTCACATTGACGTCCACGGCATTTATCCCAGCCTTCGGCCAATTAGCCGAAGTGTTTGGTCGGCATTTCGTACTGCAACTCGCCATGTTCTTAATGCTTATTGGCAGCGTGTTCTGTGCCACTGCCCAAACCTGGGGGATGTTGCTGTTTGGCAGAGCGTTGCAGGGAATGAGCTCTGCCGGAATAATGAACTTGATAGTAATCGTACTGGCGGATAATGTATCGTTGAAAGAGAATGCGAAGAACACCACTATTTTTCAATTCGTGTCTGGTACCAGTTACGGAGTTGGACCGGTCATTGGAGGGTAAGCTGCAGTTCATCCTTCAAGATAATATTTTTGTTGTCGACAAAATGGCAGGCTGACTAGTGTTCAGGTATTTAACTGTATGTCAATCCTATAATTTCCTTTTGTCAGTAATGTCTAGAATTTCCCTAACAGCCAAACAGGCTAATTGGCGTTACTGTTTTGTGCTAAGTATACCGGTACGTCTCATCCATCTCTAAGACTTTTTCCTTGCTGTATGCGATCTGCTTTTAATTCCTTTTTGCTTGGTTGGTTAGATCGCCTTTTTTGCCCATTTCGCAATATTCTTCTTACTTCGTAAGGAGCTGGTCAAGGGCACCCATGCTGCGAAAAGTTTTTCATCCATTTTATCCGGACTGGCCACCGTTGACTTGGGTGGTACTATCCTATTCATTCTCGGAATTGGTCTTATAATCCTAGGTACCAGTTGGGGAGGCGCAACGTACCCGTGGGCTTCAGCTGCTGTTCTTGTTCCCTTGGTTTCTGGGTCGATTTTATTTATTCTCTTTTTTGTTTGGGAATACTACCTCGAACCGGGGCGTGTACTCGGGAGGATTTTCCCACAGCAATCTCCCATGGTTCCGTTCCCTATGTTCAAAGTAAAGGATACATATCTTCTAGCTATCCTGACATTCGCCACCGGAGCAGGTGAGAAAATGAGACATGGACCTGCATTCCTCCCAGGCCTGTGTGTATACGACACTAACTTTCTTCTCTAGCCCTGTACTCAGTGTTTTATTTCATTGGAATATATTTCACACTTGTCGAAGCTTACCCTTCTGGAAGGGCGGGTATACAACTGTTGTTCTACATTCCTGGTATTGGAGGTAATGTTGCCATTCTCTGCCCCCGGACCAATTCCCTCCAGAGGTCCTATTTATGTGCTAACTCGGAATTTCCAGTTGGTGTATACTTGGCCATGTTCGCATGTAACGTCTGGCCCGCACAAACCTTTGCACCGCTTAGCACAGGCACCTTAGTCGAATCCGTCGGTGTTGCTCTTATCACCTGGGCTGTCACTACTCGCAATATACCCCTGATCAATGGAATGATGGCTGTCGCAGGTGCCGGAACGGGTCTTCGATTTATGCCCTCTTCATTACACGCAGCAGGGATATGGCCAGACAAGCTCGCACCTGCCATGTCCATCATGCGATTTTGCCTTCCCTTCGGAGGCACATTAGCCCTCGCTATCATGGGTAGCGTCTTCAACAATAAGATGGCGAGCATTTTTCATCCGTCCAGCCAGTCTCAGAGTGGTAGGTTTGATATTCACTCCGGCAAAAGTCTGGATGATATCAACAAGCTGCCTCCCGAGGTGCAAGAGCATATCCGCAATACAGGGAAAGACGCGGTTATGTGGGCTTTTATATCAATAATGCCGATTATGGTGATTAGCTTTGTATCGGGAATATTTTTAGGTAATGTGTGGATTAAAAAGAAACGAGGGGAGAGCGTAGACCAGAGAGGTCAAGCTTTTTCTACTCCTCCAGCTGACGATGAGGAAGATATCGAGAGCAACGAAGTGGTGTACGTTTCGTACCTTTGGGCACTTTTAACGGTAGGCCTTTTTTCGGTTTTTTTGTTTTCCTTGTTTCAGTTTTATCTTAAATTCCCTCATTCTCCTCTATTCCTCGCTCTCAATCACCAGTATGACCCATTAAGATTTGACAATCATGCTAATCATGATAAAACAGGGAACCTTGGATGACAAAAAATGCATCACCAAACCCCTTACCAGTCCAAAAGCAAAGACAGGCTGCAGCCTTGCTTGAAGAAAAGCAACACCGAGCCAAACTTGGACACAACCCGCCGGATGCTGAAAATTATATTCTTACTTCCAATCCTCATCCGTCGAAATCTACTTAAGGTTCTGCTCAGATATCTTCCGAACCACCTTTTTTGGCCTCATGTATTCTGCGTATAAGTTAAGCCAGAACAACATGCATACTTTCCCTTTCATACCTTCCTTGATATTTGGGTGTATAATAGAACTCATATTTTAAATATTGTTTTATGTCATAAGGGTCATTTCATTGACATGTTTTCGTTTTGAAGCTATGTATTCAGAAAGACGGTGCTCCACCAGTAACTGGGACAGGCATAGGAGGATCTTGTTGCTCGTATGTTCGGGCAAGGTCATTCACAGACGGCTTTAATATTGGATCAAGAATATGTACTTTTTGCTACATGCACAAACGGTGCCGGAAGCCTCAGCTGGGCGAATTCACGGGTCTTGAATGTGTAACGAGATATATACGACTGTATATGTTCGAATAAACCATACAGATACCATTTTTAACCGGGATACATAATACACGTATAGAGAGAAGCCGGTCGAACTACCTCAACACACCCCCAACCCCAGCCCATCCCAGCACAAAGCCACTAAGCGCGTCTCCCATAACCCCACCGCCAAACCAAAGGTCCCTCCAAGCACCCTTTCGACTCTGGTTGTTTCGTTTCGTCACACTCGAAGCCCCATCCACCTTCTCTGTAACAATCTCCCCTGTGCCGGGGAAGTATGCGCCAATTCCCATTCTATTGTTTCCGAACCCGATCAAAACGGCATGGAACAGGAAGGAGACGAGTATTGTGCCGACGAGATAGAAAATGAAACCGTACGACGATTGAAGGCCGAGGATCCCAGCGCAGATACCGAGGAGGAATGCGGTTAGGGAATGGAGGTTTGAGAGGGTCTGTTTCAGGGGTGTAAATATATATAGTTTCAAGCTTTTGCGGTTTTAATGGGATTGGTTAGCTTGGGACAAAAACATACGCGGCTGTTATGCATGACAGAGTCGGGAACGAGAGGGTTTATGAGGAGGGAGAGTTCTTGTGGGGTTGGAGGCATTATGTCGGTGTTGGGTCTCTTGTTCTTGCTCTCTCTCTCTCTCTTTCTCTCTTTTTCTTTTCAACGCTGCTGAAGTTGAAGTCCTTTTTCGTTTCTCCAACACCAGTCAATTAGGTGTCGAACATGCAGTCCAGGTGTTTGGAGGTCTCCTCGTCAGTCCATAATTAGTCGTATATATCCCTAACAATGTTGTTAGCATGCACAGAAGCAAAATCCATATATCTTCTGTTTATTCCGGATGTGGTCTCACTTACTACAGAGTGTCGCAAAATTGTTGGACAGGTTCAGATAGAACAATGGTAGTTTGGAGAAGTTTGACCATGAATTTTGGATCACGTGATGGTTATTTTTTGTCACCTTCCAAAGCTCAACATTCTACGGAGTACTTTTCTCGATATTTTTTTATAAGGCAGTGGAAATGGGAATTTGAGGTGATTTTTCTTTCCCAAGCCTTGGGTATTGTATCTGTCCGTCCGAAATGCTATTCCCAAGAATCTTGCCACTGAATGTTCCAAGAAGGACAGGACAATCTCCATCCTTCGCACCCACTGATGAATTGGCATCAGCAGCACTTTCCAGAATTTTCCTTTTATTAGCCTAAAGAGCGGAAAAACTAGAACGTGGATTAGGTGTTGTATAGCTCCATAAAAAATCCGGCTCTTAACTTTCCGGGCTGATA